CGACTCAGAAAACGATTCTAAGCCGATTGGCATACTTTAAGGTGGGTATAGGACGAATATTTTGGTATGTTACAAACATCAGCACAAACCCAATATACCCGCACTAAAGTGGTGTAGGGTATAAAAATTAAAAATTCGTGTGGAGAATAATTTTGAACTAGAATTAGAAAAATTATTTTAAAGTGAACAAAATTGTTTGCATAAATTAACATTTCGTAAATTTTACCATATTTATTCAAAATTCACTTTTTTCAATTTATGTAAATTAATTTTTCCAAGATTATTTAGCATTATACTAAAATATTTCGTACAATTTCGTATATATTACGAAAGAAATTCGTGGTGCGAAACAACGAACGATTCGTACAATGTACGACATTTTCCGTATATATTAGGCATGGATTTTTTTCAGTGTAGTTTTAATTTACTTTTTTGAATATTTTAATAATTTTAATTTGTTTATCTATAGTAATATATAAAAAAATGGTTGCTATTAACGTCAATTTTGAGCAATAAATATTATTATATTTTTGAACATGGAGAATTAGATCGATATTTTTAATTCCACGAAAAGTCTAGGGTAAACGGTTAGGTTTGAATAGGGCTACCTATGATTTTTGCTAAAAAGATAGTATGGTGGGAGGGATAGATAGCAGAGAAGTCAATACCATCTTATTCTTCTCTATCGGAAACTTTGCCATTCAGATAATTATTTTCATTTATTTCTTTTGGTTGTATATTTATTAGGGTGATCGATTCGATTTTTCAACCGGTTTTAAAACCGGTTTTTTCTGCTTTACCAGTGTCGGTTTTTTCTTAATGTTGATTTTTCGAATATCGAACAACCCGGTTTTTTCACTTTTTAAAAACCGGTTTCGAATACTTTTATTTGCTTTGTATTCAAAGATTATTTAAATGAAATTTTTAAGGAAATAATAATACAGCCCGTCTAAATTTTAAAAATATTCGAGTTGAGGAACTATCGCATATTTTTCTACAGCTCCTTTGGTTAAAACTTTTTGATTTTCCTAACTAATTAAAAAAAATTATTTGTAAAATTGATAACTGTTTGATAAAATTTTATCAATCTTAAGATTATATTCCAATTACAATAATTAATTTACGGCTGAAATTTTATGGAAGTGTTGGAATGCCTATGCAAATTTCCTAAACCGGGCTTTTAAGATAAGCTAGGATTACATAGTACCTTATGTTTAACAGAAGTGTCCCACTTTTTTTCGTAATTTTTTTATATTAAAGAAATAATGTAAATCAGACGACTAGATCTAAAGTTATAATCTTTTAAACTGTTAAAAATCATTTCGGGCCATGTTTTATTAATCAAATTTAAGCATAAACATTAAGTTTTTCAAATTAAAATATATTTTTTTTTATTTATAATGAAAAACCGGTTAACCGGTTTTTTCTGAATTTGAAAAATATCAACCGGTTTTTTTTAAATGTAACTATTCGAACTATTCGAAAACCGGTTTTTGGAAAATGTCGAATAATCGATCACCCTAATATTTATTATTTCATGTTTGTGTTTGTCGACTGTTATTAGCTACCTAATATTTTAAAATCTTATGTAGCGAACCGGAACCTTGCATTCTGAAGACAAGAACCAGCCCAATATCCCTGAGCACGGCCGGACTGCTAGGTAGCAATGTCTCCAGAATGGCAAGGCCCTTAGTGGTGGTTCGTCACACGATCTGGGGAAAGATTCGCATAAATATTTATCTATATATACAAAACATATTCACGTCGTTTTTTACCCCGATAGATTTATGAGTTAATAAAATATGTACGTATGGGAACTATGACCAATTACGGGCATATCCGGGAAAAAATCGTGGAGTGATTGATACACAAAACATATTCGTGCCGAATTTTATATCGATAACTTTATTTATCAATGAAATATGGTCGTTTAAGTGATTTTCGAAAGTGGACCTTATATGAGAACTATGACCAATTGTGAACTGATTCGAAAAAAATTTCGCTGAATGATTTATATGTATACAAAACATATTCCTGTCGAATTTTACCCCAGTAGCTTTATTAGTTAATGAAATATGAGCGTTTTCGAAAGTGGACCTTATATGGGAGCTATGAGCAATTATGGACCGATTCGGAAAAAACAGGTAGTGTGATTTATACATACATAAAACATATTCATGTCGAATTTTATCTCGATAGCTTTATTTATCAGTGAAATATGCGCGTATGAGTGGGAGCTATGACCAATTGTGGACCGATACAAATCTACGTTTGTAGTATTTATTTATATACATATGCAAAATTTTAAGTTGCTATCGACATATTTGAGGAAGTTATTAATGATAAATCCATTTCCGGAAATATGTACCTTTGTATGGGGGCTATGGGAAATTTTGGATCGATTGTGTTGATTTTCAACATAAATAATCCCTGGGTTAAAAAACTGACGTGTGAGAAAATTCATCGAATTATCTTTCGTAGTTTCTGAGAAAACGACTTAAAAATTACGAAAAAAACGTAATTTTTTTCGAGGTGGTTTGAAATTTTTACTCATAACTTTGCTGATTGCTGATTTTCAATACCAAACTGCTTGGGACAACAATGAATGGTTTTGGTGAATTTGGTTTATTTCTTTTGCTTAGTTTTAACGTGAGCGAAATATTAATTTATGCAAACATTTTTGTTCATTTTAAAATAATATTTCTAATTTTATTTAAAAATTTTTCTCCACACAAATTTTTAATTTTTTTTATGAAAATGGTTCGTGAATTATGTTTTTCTTAATATAAAAATGTTGTAGTTTTATTCAATGATAGATAATATAATTAATATCATTATGTTTAATGTTTAATTTCGCTAAAATTTAAGAAAAAAATATTACGAAAGGTTTTCGTACTTTCGTAAGAATAGAAAAGGGTTTTATTAAATAATATTTCGTATTATACACGAAATTTTTGTAAATATTACGAAAAAAGATGTTACGAAATTTCCGCTTGTAACACATCGAAATATTCATCTAAGACCCATAAAAGTATATATATTCTGGATCCTCATTAAATTCTAAGACGATCTAGCCATGTCCGTCCGTCTGTCTGTCCGTCTGTTGAAAACACGATAGAGTCCAAACGGAAGCAGCTAGCGAACATATTTTATGTTGATGCAGTTTGTTTGGTATTGAAAATGGGCAATATCGGTCCACGATTTCGCCTTGCCCCCATATAAGGTCCCCCTCAGAAAATGACATTAACGCTCATAACTGACTAAAAGAAGCAGCTATACCGATGAAATTCGTCATAAACATATTTTTTAGGAATCTTAGTATCATTGTAAAATTTTATAAGGATCGGTCCATAATTGACCTTATCCCCCATATAAGGTCTCCCTCAGAAAATGACATTAACGCTCATAACTGACTAAAAAAAGCAGCTATAGCGATGAAATTCGAGATGAACATATTTTATAGGAATCTTAATATCATTGTAAAATTTAATAAGGATCGGTCCATAATTGACCCTATCCCCCATATATGGTCCCCCTCAGAAAAAGACATTAACGCTCATAACTGACTAAAAAAGCAGCTATAGCAATGAAATTCGACATAAACATATTTTATAGGAATCTTAATATCATTGTAAAATTTTATAAGGATCGGTCCATAATTGACCCTATCCCCCATATAAGGTCCCCCTCAGAAAATGAGTTTAACGCTCATAACTGACTAAAAAAGCAGCTATAGCGATGAAATTCGACTTAAATATATTTTTTTGGAACATCATTGTAAAATTTTATAAGAATCGGTCCATTATTGACCCTATCCCCCATATAAGGTACCCCTCCGAAAACGACATTAACGCTCATAACTGACTAAAAAAAGCAGCTATAGCAATGAAATTCGACTTAAACATATTTTTTGGAACCTTAATATCATTGTAAAATTTTATAAGAATCGGTCCATAATTGACCCTATCCCCCATATAAGGTCCCGCTCAGAAAATGACATTAACGCTCATAACTGACTAAAAAAAGCATCTATAGCGATGAAATTCGACATAAGTATATTTTTTAGGAACCTTTATATCATTGTAAAATTTTATAAGGATCGGTCCATAATTGACCCTACCTCCCATATAAGGTCCCCTTCAGAAAATGACTTTAACGCTTATAGCTGTCCAAAAGAAGCATCTATAGCGATGAAATTCGAGATGAACATATTTTATAGGAACCTAAATTGCTTTGTAAAATTGTATATGGATCGGTTCATAATTGACCCTACTCCCCATATAAGGTCCCCTTCAGAAAAATACTTTAACGCTCAGAATGGTCTAAAATAAGCATCTATGGAAATTCGACACGAACATATTTCATAGAAACTTTAATATCATTGTAAAATTTTATAAGGATCGGTCCATAATTGACCCTACCGCCCATATAAGGTCCCTTTCAGAAAATGGCTTTAAGGTTCATAATTGTCTAAAAGAAGCATCTATAGCGATGAAATTCGACATAAACTTATTCTATAGAAACCTAAATCGCTTTGTAAAATTTTATAACGATCGGTCCATAATTTATCCTACCCCCATATACGGTCCCCTTCAGAAAATGACTTTAACGCTCATTACTGCCTAAACTAAAATCGTTATAGAAAATTTGACGAGGATCGGTCCATAATTGACCAAACGTCCCCTCAGAAAATAACTTTAACGCTTTTTGCTACCTTAAAAATACAAGGACAACGACAAAATTCGACAAAAATTTTCCTATACATAGATGTAATAAATGAGAAAATTGTTTTGATAATACAAAAGCATCGATTCTTAAGTATCAAAGTTTATTTATAAGGAAGCATTCCTTTTTGGCAATGATTTGATGGTGGATATGCAAGATTCGGCACAGCCGAATATAACACTCTTACTTGTTCTGTGTCTTTTTGACATACTTACAGTGTAAATTAATATTTTAGAAAACTTACAATGTTACTAATTATTGTAAAATAATTGTAGTGTTAAGCTTTTGTCGTTGTTGAATTTACTGTGCAATACCACACAAACCACATCTATACAAATGAGGGATGCTTGTTATGGATGTTTTTTTCGAGCTGGTAGTATTATAAGTGGTCCGACGCTGTTATCATCCCTAAATGATTGTGCTCGTTTATACATAGCAGAATCGGAATATGCCAGCTGTGCCGCGAATTTGCAAGCCTTAGTAGATGGCAATCGGCCGCAGCCACCGGATCCATTGGCATCAGGTTTTTGTTTTACTGGATATTGTGATTTTGTTCGCTGTATTCGACGTATTAATGCCCAACAATTGGTAAGTTGTTTCTCTTTATTTTTTTATTTAATGTATACTTATTATTTTATTTTCATAATTTTGAGTGTGTGCCAGATTCTAGCAAATATTTGAAAATTTTACCAGCTCATAGCGCTATAAAATTTGACAAATAAAAAGAAATAAAAAACGAAACATTTTCAAATTTAATTCAAATAATATTTTTTTCAAAAAAATTTAAAAGTAGTATATACAGTAGTGAAAAAAATAATAAGAACGACTTTATTTTGTGGTGAAAACAAAATTTTCTCAAAATCTACCCGTATTTAGTGATTAGTATCTCAAATGAAAGGTATTTAACTCTTCTTCATATGATATATATATATATATTTATACCCTACACCACCATAGTGGCGAGGGTATTATATGTTTGTGCTGATGTTTGTAACTCACAAAAAAAGTATACCGATCGAATCAGCATTACTTTCTGAGTCGATTAAGCCATATCCGTCCGTCCATCTGTCCGGCTGGCTGTCCATGTAAACGCAAGGTACAGCTCGCAATTTTCAAGATATTTTGATGAAATTTGGACCATACGTGTATTTCAGCCCAACGAAAATGCTTATTTAACCTTGCCCCCATACAACTCTAACCCCCCCGAAAAGGGCTTTTGAGTTTATAGTTATATTAAATATTGTAGTATCTCTACAGAAATCGGCAAAACTTAGTTCTATATACGTCTTAATAATACTACTGATTTTCGTAATTATCGTACTTTATTTGACCCTAGCCCCCATACAAAGTCCCCTTCAGAAAATAACTTGAATGTCAATAATTCACTAATAAACACTAGTATCACGATGAAATCAAGCATACATAATTCCAATGTAAACGTAAAGCCATGTACCAAAATTTATAAGAAAATCACTTTTTTCAACAAATTGTTAAAATATTTCGGAATTAAGGTAAACAACTTAAATGCTTTGTTATTAAAAATAATCCATTTTTAACATACTCAGTGGTGTAGGGTATCATATGGTCGGCCATGCCCGACTATACTTTCCTACTTGTTTATAGATTTTTTTACTCCATCGCATTTTATTGGTATTCAAAAATTTTGGCATTGAAAAAAATAATAGAAACAATTCATAGTATTGTAAAAGGGACATAAGCTAAGATTTCTTAAACGAAGTTTTTGTATTTAATTTTGAATATTTGAATTATAAATTAAGTTACCGTATGATTCCTGACAGCTGATTCAGGGGTTCCACATTCAAAATTTCCTAAATAAAATGAACAGATAGTGAAAAAAGTTACTTTAAACTGTTAAATTTTATATAAATTTAGTCATTGAGAAGATTCCTAGCCGAAATAGTTTTAGGTCCACTTATAGCTAATGTTAAATTTAACTTAATTTAATATTATTTTACCAGTTTGTCAAGGTACTTTGATATTTAAGTCACATTTTAACCTTGAATTACAAAAACTTTAAATATTTCTCGAAATTTGGCCCAAAAATCGGCGGATTTCCATTATGTATAGTGGATCTAAAATTTTTTCGGCTAGAAATTTTCTCAATAACTCATTTTATATAAAATTTAACAATGTAACGTAGCTTCTGTAACGCAAATTTTGAATGTGGGACCCCTGAATCAGCTGGAAGAAACCATACGGCAACTTAAGCGGTGAAAAAACTATCGTTATCGTAAAAAACAATGTAAAAAGCATATTTATACCCTCCACCACCATCAGTGGTGATAGAGGGTATAATATTCATTTAACACCCAAAAAATATATATTCTTGATCCTTATGAAATTCTGAGTCGATTTAGCTATGTCCGTCTGTCCGCCTGTCTGTCTGTGTAAAACACGCTCACGTTAAAACGAAGCAATAGCAATTCACGAAATGCACCCAAAACGTTCTTTATTAACCGGAAAATCAGCAAAATCGGTTCACGAAGTAAAAAGTTCCGGATATAGTCCTATCCGGAAAATTTTCGTCAAAAATTGGTCATAGCTCCCATATAAATCACTTTAACGCATATATTTCATTGAATTCTAGAGCTATCGGTATAAAATTCAGCTTTAATATGTTTTGTGTACATACCCAGCAAAAAATCTGAAATTTTTGGTAATAGCCAGTAGTTATTTCATACATTACTTGGTAATGAGTGTTCATTATCATCCACATTATTTCATTTAGCTGAATAGGTTATTGTACTATTCGTCAGTAAAAGACAGTTTATAATTTTATTTTCAGTGCTTTTATTTTTAACAAGTTCGTTCTTACTCGTGTATTTTACAACTAACATACCGACTGCCATCTACATAAGAGATGCCAGTTTACAAAATTCAATACAACTCATATAGAGTTACCATACTTATTACATGCTTTCCCTTTTAAGACTATTCCGAGTCAAACATATACATCTTTGGAGGTCGAACTGTACGGCCACTTCGGGTCCTATATGGTGAACAAACAGTTAAAGGAGTTGGCAATGGTCCTACATTCTCCGAATTTCTATGAGTGTTACAATCATCAGGGTCACTCGCAGATCCATAACTATCAGAATCAGCCTCATGATAAACGGACGAATCAGATGATTCTCCTGCTGATTGATCGGTTTTTTATCCCTGAAATTCATAATATTATCCTCATATAACATATCACTCGAGTCATAATCATTGTTCCTAGTAGTGGTTATAAATCGTCTATTACGACGGAAGTGATTATCAAAACTATCAACTACAATGTATGAGCGATAATTAAATTTCCTTAAAATCTTCCCATATTGCCACTCCTTAGAATTCTTCCTGAACATTATGCGATCACCTGGATTCAAAACCGACAATTGTTTGGCATTACGATCATAACACTTCCTCTGTACACTTTTCCTATTTTCCAATTTCCCTCTGACAATCCTCTCATTCATGGTGTTACGAACTAAAAGCTCGCGAGAAATAGGCAAACGTGTTTTTAGCTGCCGACCAAAAAATAACTGAGTCGGAGAGACACCCATTCCGGCAACCGGGGTCACATTGTATTCTGACAAATTATATTGGAACCTCCCAATATCCGCCTCGAAACAACGTTTCAAAATACCCTTAGCTATTGCCACCCCCTTCTCCGCCAGTCCATTGCTCTGAGGATACCTGGGACTAGAAAAAACCAGTTCAATATTGAACTCATTGGCATAAAGATCAAATTCCCTTGAGTTAAATGGGTTATTATCACACCTCATCCTGGTCGGATATCCATATTTACAAAATATCCCATCAAGTGTACTGATACACTGTCGAGCAGTCTTCTCAACCAGCCTCTCGGAACAAATAAAACCCGAATACGCGTCAATCAAACCTATGTAGGAATAACCAGCGTATTCATAAATGTCCGTACTCACCATATGAAATGGATATTCCGGCGCATCGTCCTGTACTAAGGGCTCCTTTCGATTGTTCCGTGTAAATTTCTCAGAAATTACACAACTATTAACCACCTCAGTCAGGTCATTCGTCATACCCGGCCAGAAAAATTGAGAAAAAAAAAAAATATCCTACAGATATCACTCTGCATATTCGTTGGAATCACAAGACGATGGTCCTTGAGCAACAGTCCATTCTCGTAATGTAATTCCGCCTTGTACTTATGAAACAACTGACTAAAATCATCCAGCTGATGATATGGTGGCCAACCTGACTCCACATACTTGACAATACGACTAAAACGTTCATCCGCCCTCATAAAATCCCTGTAACCTTCGCTGTTATCCGGTGACATACAAATCTCCCCCGATAATGAGTGGATCATCCCCGATAATTCCCTGCTCATATCCGCAATATCCGGTAGAGGGGCACGCGACAAACAGTCAGCAACTAATATTTGCTTTCCAGGCCTATATACAATGGACATACCCGGGTACTTAAGCAAGTACATAAACATCCTACGAAGACGGGGGGTAACATCATCAATGTCCCGTTTCATCAAAGGTTCAAGTGGTTTATGGTCCGAATGCACAATAAACTCACGGCCATACAAGAAGTAATGAAATCTTTCACACGCAAATACGATTGCCAGTAATTCCTTCTCGATCTGGGCCTATTTCTGTTCATTCTTCGACAGGGTGCGTGAGGCGTAGGCCACTGGCATATCGTTTTGCAACAACACACTACCAAGACCGTCCTTTGAAGCATCAGTTTGAATAAGCACCGCTTGTCCAGGGTCGTATAACGCCAATACAGGGGCACTCGTTATAGACTCAGAAAGTTCCTTTACCTCCAAATCATGTCTATCCGACCAACTCCACTCAACGTCATTCCTGGAGAGTTCTCGCAAACCAGCCGTACGCTTTGACAAATTTGGGATAAACTTACCCAAAAACTTGTACAATCCAAGAAGTCTCAAAATATCTCCCTTATTCCGTGGTGTTGGCATATTAACAATCGCCTCAATATAACATCTATCCGGTTTAACGCAGTCATTCGAAATAATATGTCCCATAAATTTCACCTCCCCTGTCCTATACTGTATCTTGTCGGGATTAAACTTAATACCATTCTCCCGAGCCCGTTCCAAAACAAGCCGAAGTTTCCTATCATGATCCTCATGATCTATGCCCGATACTGACATGTCGTCAAAATAAATTTCAACACCAGGAATATCCCCAAATATTTGGACCATCCGACGTTGGAACATCTCCGGTGCATTATTTATGCCAAAAGGCAACCTATTCCACCTATAGCGCCCAAATGGGGTCATAAATGTTGCCAAATCCGAGCTCTGTCGATCAAGTTCAACTTGCCAAAAACCGTTCCTCAAGTCAAGTACGGTGAACACACGTTTGCCCGACAAACGACTTAAAATATCCTCAGACTTCGGAATCAGAAAATGTTCCCTCTTAATGCACTTATTAAGAGGTCTTGGGTCAAGACAAACACGCAGTGATCCGTTCGGCTTCTCAACAATCTGAATATTGTTGACCCAATCCGTAGGATAGTCAACAGAACTAATGATTCCCCCCTTTTCCAGTTTTATCAAATCCTCCCTCAGCCTATCATGCAATGTCATAGGAATCCGTTTCCTATAGTGCAGCACCGGAGTAGAACCATCCCTCAATACAATCGAGCAAGTACCAGGAAATTTTC